TTTTGATTCAACGTACCTGCTACTTTTTTGCTTACCATTTGAACTCGTTAAGTGCGTGTGATGAGCGGGTGGTTGCATGTGTTTCGGATCACAATTGCAAATTAACACCGAATTATCTAGGTTAAATCTCTTCGAAGTTTGCTTTGAGTATACAGGCGGGCGGAATCTGTCTTTGACGAAATTGATTAAAGGCTTCATTTGGGTCTCTTAATTATTTTTGGCGGAGCTTAGGATCTTACTCAGTACCTTAATAGGTCTATAGGAATGAGTTGAAACGTCACAAGTAGCCCTGCGAAAGACATAGCCTTGTACTGGAAGGCTTAGTAGAAATTCTTTGTAAAATGGCTGCTACTTTAACTTACACTGCTTTGTACTTAAATATCCTCGTACCACCGAAGTCGTGACAATTGCTTCGGTCAAAGTTTATTCTCAGGTCGTAATGGAGCCTAGGTAGTATCAACGCAGATGTAATTTTTCGCATATCCACACGTCTTTTGAGGTAAAAGACCCCCCATCTTTTAATTAATTCGTTGTCGGACAGTGCTTTGAGCCGCCCGTCAGAATATTCTGTACGGACTCATCTAAATGCGTGCTGCAGCATTTGGTATTTAAGTAATGGAAGTGCCGTCTGCGTACAAAGGTTGGAAGAAACCGGAAGTCCTAAACTTAAGTTAGTCATGAGCATGAGATCTATATTTATCATTTTACCAGCTGACTTCCATTCTCTTGTTGAGATTTGCTAGCTGAGAATGGTAACTGCGATGTCGTATGAACTCTACGCTTCCTTTAGAGCCCAGCGATTAATTGCCGCCATGTTCGCTATTTGTTTACCTACATCCACAGTATTTTCTAATCTACCAGCCCCACGAAATTAAGTAGATAATTCATTGTGTCCCGTCAAAGAGGAATTCTATCTGAAATAGGGACACCAGGTGGTGCATTCAACTGTTACTATGTAAATTCGTTAAATATCAGTCACATTAGGCTTAAACACTTTAGATTAGTTATAGTTGGCCAATGTTTGTTGTGTGACAACTTCGAAGATAGTAGTATTCAGTTTCTTAAAACTCCACACGAGTTACGCTATCCCATTAATTTCAGATTTACTGCTAAAGCTTTTGTCCATAACCAAAGACTAACCAGTGTACGAGGGTTCAGTTTGCAGTCGTTTGATATTTAAAGACATAAGGGAATAGCCTAGATGGGAACACTGTTCAAATGACCTGGTAATGACCGAGCCCCTGAGTTGAGGTTTGGATATGGTTGGGTGGCAGCCACAAAAAGGCTGAAAATAGCCGTATCAGTTTATCGATTATTTAGAAAGGTTAGTATGCTTAAAATTTAATATTAAGCAATTAATAAATGAGGTATGACTGAATACTCAGTGAAAATACAATCCGAAAAAAAAGGCATTTTAGTGATTTCCAGAATTTACTTTTTACCGGAGTCTCAGCACGACATAGTCATAACCTTGGCCATTAACTCTAGTCCAGTAAGCAGTACACTATTACGTAGATCAGTTTAGGTTTTTCCAATTGTTCCGATTCCCTCCTACTGCAGTAGGAGTTGGCTGTATCGCACAACTAGGCAACATAACATTACTAAACTGTTACGTATTTCTTATTAGTTTACCTTTCATAATTGGCCATTTCCTTCTCCCTTAGCTTGCGGCTTGGGTGATGGGTGCATACATTTTATCCATTGAGGTGAAGGTGGACAGGGTTCAGAACTGACTATCGTTTTTGTTTGGCAGAGGATATTGAGGATACAATTTAGTCTATTTGGATATCTAGTAAGTAAAGTAGATTCCAGACCGGTTTTGCTTTGGTGTCAGGGTCATGTTAGTACCATTTGGAAGCAGTCTGCGTAGAATGAGACACTGAAGAGACTTCACAGTATCCGACGCTTGCGCAGCGACGCCATCTACGAAAACGGGCAGCTCATTGCTGGAGGTCTCGTGAGGCAAGAGTTGCGCAACTTTGGGGGGAGGGGGCTGGATCGTTTTGGGTAGCAGCTATACAGCTAATATGATAAATGGGATAGGCTGTAGTAAAGCTTCCTGTTCGAATACTCCAGACTAGGAACACACCACATTGCAGAGAGGTATGGACAATTCAGTTATCCTTCACGATGCCCCCCTTTCCCACGTACGGTTGAAATTACTGCTATTGACGGTATCTTGGTGGATGCATAAGCACTCCTAGTAGGTACCATGCTTGCGTACTGAGGTGAAGACACGTGGGAATGGGTTTGACTTTGATGGCACCGCTCTTCCATATTCAGGTCTCATTGTCTTACTCTTAACTTTATTTAGTGGGCTCCGACGATTGTTGGTTAATTTTTGCCGCATTTAGACCTGCCTGGGCACCGCCAGGGTAACACTAGCGTTTTGGGACGCAAAATGGAACTGAACCTCTGCTCTACAATCTGTTTATAATGGCGTCCCTAATAGCAAGTGGGATTCTATGGGAGTTCTACGGGAATCCTACAAGTCCACAAAGTAGGATTCTACGGGAAGTCCACAGGCGTACTGACCTATAATTTCGCTGACATTGTAGCCAATGAAATGTGAGATATTGTGT